TAGGGGGGGCGCCGCCCCCCCCCGCCCCGCCCCGGCTGACAGGACCGCAATTAGGCAAAAAACAGCTTTTAACCGCTTCATTGGGGCATCTCACGACGAAAGCCTGGGGCATCTCACAGGGAAAGCCTGGGGCACCTCACGACAAAAGCCTGGGATGAGGGGCTGCACCCCGCAAACCCCAGCCCAAGCGACCGGCACCACCCCGCTCCCACAACAAAAGCGCTGGTGCTTTGGGAGGCCCTGGCCTAGCCCCGAGCTTTTTAATATTTAAAAAAAAAAAAGAAAAAAAAAAGATGAGTGTTTGAACTGCCGTTACCCCAGGGAGCGGGGATTTCTCTCTGACCCCCTTCCCGAAGGCCATGTGTGCTCAGGGGGGCTGTAGAACCCCATGGATGGGCTGTAGAACCCCACGGACAATGGGAACTCCGAAGAGCATCCCAGCGGTTGGAAGCACCCGTCCGAGGGCTGGGACCCAGCCTCTTCACCACCGGGGCAGGGGAATTGCAAGGTGCTGCTCTGACCACAGGCAGAAAGGGCTCTGAAATCATCGGGCAAGCCCTGGGTGCCGCCATGGGGACTAACGCACTCCCAACCTGTAACTTTACACCAAAACGCTGCTCGTCTAATTACGCGGTATTTTATATCCGCCTTTTAATTCCACAAATGGGTAGACAAGGGGCAGGCAAACGGAAGCAGGTCATCCACAGCAATAGGTTTAAGGCTTCCAGGGGTTCATCCCTCTGGCAAATGTTCCCGCATGGGCCACAGGGAACAAACCACGACAGTATTATTTTGGAAGGATTTTGCAGAGAGAACCAAAAGTGGTTCAGTTCTTTTCTACGCTGTTAGTCTGAAGCATTGAGAAGTTACGTCGGGCCTCAAAAATACAATGAAATTGGTTTTGTAGGTTCAGAGATCTCAAGTAAAATCATGGTTTTCCTGCTGCCCACCAGAGCCAACCGTGCTTGTGGTTCCTCCCCCCCAAAAAAATGAGAGCTGGGAGTATTCCCCCGAGATCACACGATCTGCCAGATAAAACTGCTGTTCCTCCAGCAAGCGTGATGATATATAGTATATACAACAACAAGAAAAAAGCGCAAGAATAGGAAAAACCTCCATGGTTTTCATTCTACACATGCTCTCCACCTATTCACAAGGTACCCGGAATAGCTGCCTCAGGTCCAGCAATGGCAGCCAATTCAGCTACTCGGTGCTTACTTGCAAAAACCTTGTATTTCAACGACAGCAAACCCAAGCTCAGGAAGGTGCCTCTGCACTTGAACAAGCTGAAAGGGGACTGGGGCCCAAAAACGCCCTCACCTAACAATGCCTATGGTCTGTCTTCCTTCGAGGCAAGCACGAGAGCCTGAAAGAGTTCAACATCCAAGCCCGAGCAGCAACAGCGGCTCATCCCTTGCATCGTTTAGTCAAGCCCAGCTGTGCCCAGCAGCCTACCTGGGGATTTCGGCAAACCCCTGCGAAGCGCGGCTTCCTTTGAACGAGGACAGGCAAGTCCAACCTCCGCAGGTTATCCGTGAGACAACTGGATGCCATTCTGCTCTAGAGAGCCATTACGTTTTTTCTCGTGAAGAACCAAACCCACGCGTTTGTTTGAACACTTCACAAGAGAAAGGTTTTGCTGTGAACAGTAAAAGGATGTTCTGTTTTAACACAAAAAACTACAATTCACTCAAGAGAAGAACCACAGTGTGCCTCTCTTTTTATTCTTTATTTTACAGTTCACAATTAGAAACCTACTGATAAATTACACAGTTCACCCTCCTGTTTGGTGTTTTTAAATGCCTCGGTCGCGCCGCCAATCCCACCTCATCCCAGGAAGATGGCTCAAGGTGCCACCAGGTTACGCGAGGCAGAGCGGCCAAACAGCCCACGCCAAACCCCTCCACAGGCCCCGCTTCACATAGCGAGCTGAAAAAAAAAGCAGGAATTATCCCCTAAAAACACGTTTGAAATGGAAAAATATTCTGGATATCATTTCAAGGTTATTTTATAGACTTGCAAATGTTACAAATGTTCTTGGGGGGAAAAAAAAAAAAACAAACCCCAACCCTGAACTGCCAGGGCTGCAGGTCAGCCAGGTTGTATTTGCAGGGAGCAACTACCCAGCCTTTTTCAAGGCCTTGCATCTTAAGCAATTCTCTCCAAAGCCTCCTTTTACAGAGCAGAAAGATAAGTGAGGTCCCTCCTCAGCCATGCATTTCAACATCGGCTTAACTTTGTACTCAGTTGCGGCCACCAATTCGGATGTTTCAGTGCTGCCCACATCCCTGCTTATATTTTTTTTTTTTTCTGCTCATAAGTTCCTAATTTCACAACTCTGGGTTTTTTTGGCCTCCAACTCCTAGTTCAACCACTTTCTCTTAAACAGATGGCACACACTGCGCAGTGCATCTGCTGAATTTCAACAAGCTCCTGCAAAAGAAACCCTAGGGAAAACACCAGGAGTTTTCATATCAAGTCTAGCTGAACGTCACAGGGGCGTGATATAAAAAAAGCACAGTAGTGCTTGACCCTTCCTTAGCCAAGTGCCTCCAAACTGAGGATCACGGTGGCGTGGAGGCTGAAGAGCTTTCCCAGCCGGCGCAGGCTCTCTGCTGCAGGGAGGATTGCTGGCTGCGTGCAGACCTGGACGGGCCGCTCCTTGCGGGACACGATCTAACCCAATGCCATGGGTGAAACCCAGCTCTGTGCAAAGAACCCACACAAAGTCACGGCCTCGGCAAGGTGGAAGAGGGCAGGGCATTACAGCGGCACGAGACTGCACCACAGGGCATGAATTCCACTCACAGTAGGAAGGCCAAATCCAGTGATGAGGCTATGTGTACTTGCCAGTAGAAACTGGTGACAGATGAGGAATGGACAGAACACACCATGGCATGTATTTATAAAGAGAAAAAAAAAGAAAAAAAAGGAGCAAATTGCCTTTTTTTGCCATTACGAAGGAATGTTTTACCAGTTTTCTCCTTGTATCCTTCTACAGTTGCTCACCTTTGGCACGAGGAAATCTACGTATCACAAGATTTAACTAATAATAATACTTCATATCAACACTCAGCACTTACATAGCGCTTCTCATATTCAAAGTGCTTTACAAAAGTTTGTGAGTCCTCACAACACCCCTGTGAGGTAGGTAAGTATTATTATCCCCATTTTGCAGATGGGGAAACTGAGGCAGAGAGGTAAAGTGACTTGCCCAAGGCTTTACAGGGAGTTGAAAGTCATGATGTAGTGGCCCAATTCTGGTCTCCCTTATGGTGGTGTAACACAGATGAACTCCCACAGAGCTATACTGGTGTACGCAAAACAATCCAACCCAAGTTTCTCTGGCTCCCGATCCTCCGCTCCGATCGACTGACCATACCTGCTCCACCTAACCCAATGGGTCGCCTTCCGAAACACTACAGAAAGTCCAGAGCGCAGCAGGAGTGAGCCTGCAATCTTAAGGCAACATACCCGTTAACAGCTCCATAGCTCTGCAGCAAGCTGGACTGAGCACAGACGCGATTCTGCCGTGCTGCGAGAGTCTTAACACAACTCAAGCAGTCGCCAGCCCTGCACGTTATCGGCTTGGAGGCTGGATTCTCTTCTCCCTCAAGTTAGAATAAATCCAGAGCAAAACAATGGGGCTGCACCAGTGTAGAACTGGTACGAGATCCGACCCAGACGTTTTACCTGCTGCGTCGTAGGCAAATGCCCCTACTAACACCTTTTCATTTTGGACAGCTTCGGCATGGCTCATTTCACTCTCTCTCTCTCTCCGAGTTTGCATCTCTGCATATAAACAAACTTTCCACATTTCCAACTCGTCAGCACCAGCATTTAAACAGCACCATACATCTTTCTAAGACCGATCAATATTTCCAGAAAAGTGTCAATGCATGCAAATAGCACATACAAAAACATCAAGAGTGCTGGGAGATGATACCAAGGATAGAGGTGATCACAAGACAGCACACATTTAGTTTTTATTTAAAATACCAAACAACTCACTCTTACTGTAACTATGCCACTTAAATGATCGTTCTAACCTGCAGAAGCGCAGGTGCTTTTCCCCCCAACTATTTACCTACCTACCTAGAAAGAAAGAGAAATAGCAAGCACACACATTTACACTTCCTCAAACTTGGCAGGCATGATTCACGTGAATGGGAAAGGAGGGTTTGGGGAGGTGGCTGACATGGTACACTGGGGTTTAGGGCAGCGGAGTACGAAAGAAGTAGAAAATATCACATGCATTATTACCATCAGTAATCAATCTGAGGAAAATAAACCCAAAAATTAGATGGATTCATGAATGACATCCACTGAAAATCTCAAACCCTAAGCAGACTGAAGCTGGCAAACATCTTGTGCCACTTCACCTACGTCCAGACACAGCATCAGCAGATAAGATCAAACAAACCTTGAAAAGAAAGCAAAAGGAAGAATAAACCAGCCTGGAGACAACCATCTTCCACAAACCACTTCCCTGCATTATTTTCAAATACATTTTACTCTTAAGCAGTTTCAGAAAGGAGTGGGGGAGAAAAAGAGACCCACTACTACTTTTTTTTAAACTGGCTCAGCACCAGCACCAGCTCAGAGAGAGGGAGAGAAAAATAATTCTTCAAACATGATCCTTGGTACTTGATTAAAACGTTGCTAGCCAGCCGACGAAACCCTAAATTGCCAGAGGGTTCGAAGTGGAGTGGATACACGGTGCCGCTCACAGTCCTCTTCATTTGCTATGATATCTGCTCCGTGGGCCTCATCTGTATATCTCCGATCTAGAAGAGACCAACATAGGATTTTACTGGAGCCCTGAAGTCCGTTCTAAATCCTGCACTGGGCACTTCCACGCTGCACCATTACAGTGGCAAGCAGCACACGAATCAAGTTCCTGTGACTAGAAATGAGCCTGCCTAATGGAGATACTAGAAAGCGATAAAGGTGAATGTGGCTGCTCTGCCTTTAGCAGAAGGGATAAAAGCACAAACATGCGCAGAAGAGAGTGCAAGATGACCCTGCTTACAAACTCCCGTGGTTCAAGTCTTCAGTTTGGTCCTGCTCACGGAGGGTCAAGCAGAAGCCCTGCTTGATCAGCCACGGGCAGGGCTTTTTATCCTCTTAAGGCCAGCTATCACTACTGATCCCATGTCAAGGCGGCCACGTGTTGTTCCAAAGGAGCAGAGTTCACGCGAGGGGCTGCTAAACCTCTCGTGATCAGAGTTTTCTTTTGCAACAAGAACTTCTATGGTGCATATACAAAACTTCGACACTGCTCCTGGCTCCAGCTCCAAGCTGGTCGCTTATTTCTTGTTTCACAAGAGGGAAGTCCCTCCGGCAGCACAAGCATCTCACACCACCCTTGGGGAGGTGCGCAGCACTCAGCAGGGTCAGGCCCGACATGTTATTTGGCAACTGGCGGGACCTGACCCTGCGGCAAGACCGTCAACAGATCTCAGCTGGCACCATCCAAAAAAAAAGGGGCAAAGCATGCCCGGATCTCTCCCACTCCCTCTGCCTTTGCTGGATCTGTAGGGCTGTGAGCAGCCCGAGCAGTGCAATCCCATAGCTGCCATTAGGGAAGCATTCCCAAACGCGACCACTGCTGATCCCCAGCCCAGGCTGCGCTGAGCACAGAGCTGATACAGCGGCTGCAACGCTGATGAGCAAACGTCAGGGCAGGAGTTGCCCTCTGCGCCTTCAGCCACCCACCACCAAGTCCTCCAGCCCAACCCCAGCCTACCTGTACATGAGGTGGGGCACTGAGGACATATATGACAGCGTTAGCCATATCTTCAGCTTTGAGACACTGGAAAGACAGGAATGAGACTCTTAGTCAAAGGGCACCTCGGGAAGTTAACCACAAGATCACTTCTTTCCTAACTATCAATAATGAGTTTTGACAGCATCACTGAGGCATGTCAAAAAGATGCAAGCAAGCAGGAGAAAAAAAAAAAGAAAAATCATCTGTTAAAAATTTAGCAAAGGACGTGTCTGGTGCTGATAATTCTCCATTTGCTGGGAATAATCTTACTACTGGCACAGCGATTCTGCCAGGTCAGGCATCGTCATCCTTATCAAAAATTATGAGAGAAGCACCCAAGTCCTGCAAGACAACAGGCTCTCACACTTCTTCTTGTGCAGGCATGTTAGCTTATTGTATCGTCTCTTCAATAAAGAGGTCACGGCCTGCCAAATGTCATAGGCATACTATTTATTTAAGGGAACATCAAAATGAAAAATATAGGGAGTCAGAAACTGAACCTGAATGAAAATCTGTGTAGTGTGTAAATACCGGTGCCAAATCTGAGGTCTGAGTGCTGAGGCTTTGGGGATGCTGATTACATCCTGGAAAGCACTGGGCACTCTGCAGAACTAATTCCTTGTGCTATGAGCCAGGAGAGAGACTGTTAAACCATCATCAGAGCCACTTCCCTCTGCTTCCATTTCTCCATGTCCTACCCGAATGCTCTCGTAGGTTGCAGCAGCTCTCTCGGGGTCATTATCATGAAGTTTAAAAGCAAATCCCGTTTCCACCAGTCCTGGAGATATACACTGGAAAAAAGCAGAGCACATCCTAATAGGATTTGTAATTCCCCTTCGGTGAAAGAAGAAAAAGGAGAGAAACTTTTAGCACTGAAGAAGCCAGAAAACCCCAGCCCCCTGTCTGTTGTTCTCCTTCCCCACCCTTTTTCTAGGGGAACCGTCTGAGCAAGCTGATCTGGTTAGCGGTGTCCCTGCTCCCTGCAGGGGGGTTGGACTGGGTGATCTCTAGGGGTCCCTTCCAACCCAAACCATTCTATGATTCTATGAATAGTTTGAGAGCAGGCGTTGCCTGAACGACTCTTGTGGCAGGTACCTCTGGGGAACCGCCGCCGCCGATGGGTACTTCCCTCTTCACGCCCCAAAGGGAGACAGAAGCAGAGAACACAATGGCAAAGCTCGCAATACAAATTAACGTCTGGACACATCACTTCCGAGATGCAAACTCTTCAGGAAAGCAAATAGCCCAACCGATCGCCTCCCCCTGCGGTCACCAAGCCCCCCTCACACCCGGACAAGCAACTGCCCGCTTTGTGCGCCCAGAAAGTTTATTTCCTGGCACAGCTCACTGCTGCTGTGCCTTCTTCCCCCCCCAGTCTCTCTCTGCCTGCGAAGGAAAGGTGGCCAGGGACAGTTGGCCACAGGACTTGAACGTTTCCAGCGTGCTGAGCGCTATTTCTGCCTTTCCTTGCCTGTTTTCCAAAGGGAAAACCTCTGCCCCCTAAAGCCAGCTCCGTACAACCCACAAAAGCAAGAGAGAGGGAGAGAGCCCACGGTACTCACTGTAGCTCGTATATGAGTCTTTGCTTCTCTGAGTTCTTGCCTCAGCCCCTCCGTGAGGGCTGTAACCGCATACTTGGTGGCACTGTAAAAATGCACCACCGACTGTGGCACAACGCTGTGGCCATTCATGCTGGAGAGAGAGCAGAAGGGAAAGCGCTGAGAGGTGAGGAGGCAAGCGGAGCCCCAAGGAGGGACCGACAGGCTATTCAAACCACCGTAACGAACTCAGACAGAGCGGCTGACACGGTGGCTATGTGAGGAATTCCCCTCTCCTGCGGGGAACGCATGTCACCAGAGGCTCCTCTCAACATAGCTGCTTTCTGGAGCTGGTCAAGAAGTTTCAATCTTCAAACTTGCACCATCACAAATGGTTGGCATTCTCCTTTTCTCCCTGGTTTGGTCTTTCTTGCATTTAGACCAGCAGAGGTTAAATAAAAGTGGTTTAAAAATCAACCATCGAAATCCTTGGAAAACCCCTCTTTGGGCACCATCAGCCAAGATTAAAGCTCCACCGCTCAAATCCTCTCCGTGAGGTAGGAAGGAGGAAGCACAGGTGGCTGATCCCACATTCCCCCCTTGCGTACCTATTAATGTTAATAATATGCCCATCGTCGATGTTTCTCTCTTTCATGGACTGGTAGGCCTCTCGGGTGCAGATGCTCACAGCCATCACGTTGACCTGAGGGAAGAGAAACGAAGAAGAAAGTAAGATCAGCAGCCCTGCCTGGCACCCTTTGACTTGCCCCCACACGCCCAAAGCCACGGACGCAGGTTACAGTCCCTGGCCCACAGCAATTCCTGCAAACACCAACAGAGGGAAATGCTCATTCGCACACCGCACGCCTCGCCGCACGCCCCACACAGAATCACAGAATCGTTTGGGTTGGAAAAGCCCTTTAAGATCATCAAGCCCAACCGTTGCCCTAACCCTGCCATCCCACCACTAAACCCTGGCCCTAAGCACCTCGTCTGCCCGGCTTTTAAATACATCACGCTGCAAGCAGGCTCGGGGCTGTAGAAACAAGGGGTTTGGGCAGGGGAGGCAGAGATATCCAGTTTTGTGAGACAGCCCTGGCTTCTGCCAGAAATAAATGGACTTAACTGTTTTACAGGCAAGAGCGAGGGGAGAGGGCAAGGCAAGGGAGAACAAACCCACTTCCCCACAGTCAGCACTCTGTCCAGGAGACAAAATTGTTTATTTTGTACAGCACTGAGCACACTGGGGTTTGGGCAGCTGATAGGACACTAACAGCAGGTAATTAGGTCAGCTAGTTAACGAGGAAATCCCCAGATATTGCCTGTCAGAGCGCCAGGCACTCGGAGGCACTGCAAACCACACGGCCAAAGAGCTTCCCATCCACAAATGAAGCCAAAGATCACATCGTGCCACGGGGAGGGCCAGAGTGGGCAAGGAACCCTGCAGATATGAAAGCCACCGATCTGTCACACTGTCTGCTGACGTTTTCCTCAGCCCGAACTGGATGAGCCAAGGAAGAAAGGACACAGCAATTTATCCAGTCCTTTAGCACAGGATCCAGAGCTTTCCAGGCTCTTGCTCTTTGGACCAGCACTGCCCAGCACGCCGGCGGCTCAGTTAAACTCAGTCATATCACCTCTGCAATGCGCAACTGTTAATGCACAGACGCCTTGAGCGTTTGCTGACCATAAAACACAGAGTCAAAGTTCCCAGGAAGAGAGAGATATGGAAAATCCCCCAGCTGCAATACAAAGCACCCCGAGGTGTGTGCAAGGCTGATGAGCAAGCCACGGCAGCAGCAGGGCTAATTGCTCAAGTTTATAGTGGTTTAGATGTGGAAAAGCAGCTGAAAGGTAGAAAGTGTCTGCTGAAGCCCTCTAGAAAGGATGTCACCATTTCAAGGCCAGACACACTGGCAGGTCCTACCTAATGGCAAGTCACTTTGCTAACTAAATCAGCAGGCCAGACAAGGCTGAAAACACCGCTGTGAACTAAATATCCAGGAAGAACGACATTTCTGATGAATCAGAAGTCAGGTGGCAACTATAAATGGGAGGAGCAGCAGGAACAAGGCCAAGTTGACAGCGAGCAAAGGGTACACGAGAGGGCTGGCTACCATCGCTGTGAAACTTAGCAATAACAGGGCAGGCTAACTAGGGCTCGATAGCACAAAAGGACATGCAATAGAGGAACATCAGTTTGAAGACCAGAAAGTAAGAGGCAGAAAGGGATGGATTTGAGAGATGCAATTACTGAGCAGCACACAAAGGACGAGTGGGGTCAGCTGAAGGATCTTCTGGTCACTGCTTTTGTCTTGGTCGTTATTTCTATTCATTACTAGAGGCCGTGCTTACAAGTTTTTGTCTTGGCGATAGATAAATAGCATGCTTATCTGCTCTTGGAGTACCCAGGCAACACAAGTAGAGTCATCATCCTCATCCAAGTGCGCTTTGGTTGAGCACACAGCCACCGCCGGGTCTCTCGGACATCATACCTGAAACTACCAAGATAAATTTCCTGGCTGAGCGAGGAAGAAAGTTAGCAGACCTGTCAGCAGAAGTGCACTGTACAACCACCGCAGCACTGGAGCGAAGCCCAGAGCAGGCAGGGCATCTGAAAGCTTTCGGATTTCACAGCAAGAAGGTCAAGGAAAGCAGGAGTAACCCGCTCCGGTCTGATATACCAACCAAGGGAGGAGCCGGTCCTGTCAGATAGGGATCCGGGCAACTGTCGGTATAAAACACCTTTGTGATAAACAACATCCCTGCTTTCCTCCCCGCCCCAGGATGCCCTGAACCCACCAGGCACCAATGCCCTTGGTGCGGGTGCTCCCGGGCTCCATTCCATCTCCGTAGGCCACTAGAGGGTAACATCAGCCTAAAGCCTGAACCAGGCTCCAAGGCTGTGACTCACGCTGAGCAACGCTTCCTTGCGTGGGTAGCGTTACAACGTTTTGACAACTACTGGCAAAGCAGGATACTCATCAACAACCACATGGGAAAGTCCAGAGCCCGTACGATAAAACACCCTGGTACAACAAAAGAACTGGCTGGAAGGCAGCTGAGCTGCGGTTGCCTCGCTGCCTTTTCCCGATAGCACCCACAGGATTTTGGCGTGAAATCCCATTTCAAAACATGGAACAGGCGCTTAGGAACCTAAAAACATGCCTGCAAAATGAGCCAGTCTTAGGGCTGTATCACTGAGAAACAGTCCGAAGGCCGTTGTTACAAATATCCACGCAAGACAGTTGTCAGCCTTGTTCCTATTTTAAGAACAAAAGGTTCAAAGGTCCCTTAGCAAAGATGGCCAGCACATCTGCACCCCGCCTTGGCGCAGCACGCCGCACGAGGCAGCAGGTCGGCAACTGCCGCGGCCGTGCGCTAACGCAATAGAAACAACGGAGGCACATTTTCTAGTAATTAATGAGTTCCAATTGCCAGGTTGGGAGAACATTAAGAGATCCTGTTCCTGGAAGCGTTGAGCATTTCACTTCCCAGAATCAGCCTTTTCTAAGGCATCAGAATGAGTATCCCAGCTCCTAAGGACACATAAAAACGCAGGTTACAGAAAACATCTCTCTATGCAGATGGCATATAAAAGCAAAAGCGCAGAGCCTCGCTGGTCAGTGAATAATACCGAGAAGAATCAAACCCATCCAGCATCTAGAGGAGCAAGAGGATGTGTGCTGCAGCCCTTTGTGCCCTGAACAGTGCAAACGGAAAGTTCAGCTTGAATTCCCGGCGGCAAAGGTCAGTAGGTAAAACGTGAAGGAGCTGTTCAAATCCCAGAGCCTGGAGTCCGTGTGTACACAGCACCCAGCCCCAGCTACTCCCAGGCGGATCGGGGATGGCTGGAGGACTTTGCTCCAGCCTCGTGTCAAGCACAACCTCGCAAACAAGCAGGGAGAAAAGAGGGGAAGCTGCGAACCAGAAGGCGACGGGCGCAGAACCTGCCTGCGATAACCCGCTCCCTCCCTGGCACACACCGAATTTGCTGGCTGGCAGCGGCGGGCTCAGCGCTGCTGGAAAGCAACAGAAAGGCGATTCCCAACGTGAGATTCCTGCAGCCCAGGGAGATGCAGATACCAGACAATAAGGAACTGGAACATTAAAAAAAAAATTTAAAAAAAAAAAAAAAAGAGGGGGAATAAGTGAATGAGAACATGATTTTGACTGTTACATGTATAGCAAGAGATTTTATGGAATATGTATACTGAGAAGATGTATAGCAAGAGATTTTATGGAATAGGTATACTGAAAAGGGAGCCTGAAAGGAGACTGAGCCTCAAAGCTCGAAAAAAAATGCCTGGAAACAAAAATCGATTTACCAAAAAGAAAAAAATGCCTTTAATTTAAGGCCCTAAGGCCCCCTAAATCAATAGATCAATGGCTGTTTAGAAACTTCTCCTGTCCTGCAGCCCAGCAGCCCACAAACTCTCCAACAGCACCTCTCAAACCGTGCTGCTCACCAACACCTTTCTCCAAGGGACCTTTGGAAGAAGCCTCCGTGCTCCCGCTCCACTCGGCAAAGCCCAGTGGCCCGTGAAAGGTGCTGGCAACCTTCCCCCATCCTGACCCTCCGAGAGCTTCAGAGCATGCAAGAGAAATGGGCCTGGCAAGCGTTTCCCGGGGGCTGGCGTGCCGCGGCGGGGAGAGCTGTCACCGCGGATCCCTCCCCAAAGCCCACCGCCGCACCGGCACCTGCACCGGCACGGCACGCTGGGAGAGCGAGATTTCCACGCAGGGAGGCCACAGCCACAAAACTGGGGGGACACAGCAAAAGGAAAAACCCTGAGCTATTTCTACCACTTACCAACAGGCTGAAAAGAAAAAGCCAGGCTCAGGCTGCCTAGGCTGAGGCGAGCAAAGCGTTTGGCTCTGGAGGGTCCCAGGACTTCACCTTCACATTAAAGGTGCAAGTGTTATTCAGACAACTGCACACAAGCCAAGAGCAAACCCACCAGCTGCTGGGAAGCTGGTGAGAGGGGAAAAAAAATTTGCCAGTAACTGAGGCAAGCTTGGGTGTCTCTGTCTGTTCCCAGTGCTACAACAGCATTTTTGTCAAGCAAATGAGAGCAGATACAGCCGTACAGATCACCTCTGGGAATAAAATATTCCCCCACACTGTTTTCCTAAGGCTGCCCTTGTGGAGCCACCACCCTGCCTCTCCTCCCACCCCATCCATCATCCCGAAGCAGCTCCGAAGGGTGCACACAGCAGGGCCTGCAAGGGGGGGACCCCACAGGCTCCCAAACCCCACGTCAGGCCACTGTAAATGCCAACACGGGAGTGTCTCACACAGGACAATCCCCGTTCCAAAATCTTGCTCCCCAAAAGTGGTGGAAGGTGAGACAAAGGGAGCGGTCCCACCTGAGCAGCCAGGGAAGGGAGCACGGAGAGGGGAAGGGCCTTCAGCTGGCAAAAGCCACGCGTGTCCCCCAGCCTGCCCACCCTACGGTGGTCAAACAAAAGGTCAGAAGAACAAAGAGAAACGAGTGCGAGGGACACGCAGCATCCACGCAAGATGCGACGACAGCGACCAGGACAAGGAGTTTCCAAGGCACAGGCGACCCTCGGGGCCAGGTTTGCAGTGAGACGACGCTGGGAAGTCCCCCGCTTTACACCAGCTCAGCCTCAGCTACACTTCACTTCATTTTCTTTAAAGACTCCATGGCAACCGGGGACGGGGAGATGCGGCTGTGCAGTGACCCAGGCTGGGCAACCCACAAAAGCCTGGCTGGGCAGACAAAGCTGAGCTGAGCTTGCTTTGGCTGCAGTCACAGCATCCAGCAGACCGGCCAAAATCCTAACAAGGACTTAATTAGCCGGGATACGGCAGCTCTTGCCCTGGCAGCAGGAGTCTGAGGCCTCGATGTGCCTCTCTGTTTTGCTTTACACAGCCCCTGACTCTGCTGCTGGATGAACAGCCACAGGCTGCCCCGGGAGCCGACAGATCCTGGCTCACTCTGCTGTCAGATGTGGTAGGCCCAAGCCTACAGCTTGGAGCAGCTTTTCATATAGGCAGGTCTCTTCCTTCAGTAGGATAAGCTCTCACAGCTGCTGGAGGTGCTGCAAGGTTCGCTCAAAGCCATGAGTTCGACTCCTGTTCCTATGAGGATGATGCTTCCATGTGCAAAAGCAGGTAGGGGAAAATCACCTCCGCGAAAAGCTCCTGTTCCAGCCAGAGCTGCAGGAAGGCCAGCGCAAAAGGGCTGTTGCAAGGGCATGCTAACTGGCCTGGGGTCCCGCAGCCGTGGCTGCCGCTGCTTGGGAAACATGCAAGGCCAGGGTGGACGGGGGTCTGAGCAACCTGATCTAGTTAGCAGTGTCCCTGCTCACTGCAGGGGGGTTGGACTAGATGACCTCGAGGGGTCCCTTCCAGCCCAAACCATTCTATGATTCTATGGTGCAGAAAAGGCCCATCCCGCAATGACAAGCGATGGTGAAGTCCCAGAAGGATGCAGAGCAGCACCTCAGGACAGCAACACCCAGGGAGAAGCGCTGCTAGTAAATGGCACAGACCATTTGCACAAACCCCCCAGTTCGGCACAGGAAACTGCCTCCTTCGCATCCAGCTCTAACCAGATTATGGGCAGAAAATTAAGCTAGAAAGACAAAAAGCATTACAGGTTTTTAAGCCAAAAAGAATCTGCCCATTTTACAACCCACTGCTACAACTAACAGGATTAGCTACAAAAGCCAGTGCTTGGCATTCAATTTCCTATTTTAATGAAGGAAAAACCAGAAAGTTTTAGAAAGCCACCCTTTAGAAAGCCACTGAGCTAAAGGCAAAAACACTACTGAAGGTATTGAGTCTTTTCATACTCCGGGGT